CATTCTGAAGCCTGTTAAAGCCTCCTTCTTACTACTATTATTATTATTATTTAATAGAAATGCCTACAAATTATTAAAGCTTATATCGTGTTGAATTACACCTTTATACAGAATATGATGATAAAAAAGCCCACGTGCTCATTGTACCTTAATAAGGTTGTCTGAGTTTATTGGGCTTTTTTTGCCTGTGGCTTAAACGCAAAAGCCCAAAAGTAATCATTTCTGAAGTTCCAGTAAAGAAGCCAGTTGAGCTGTTGAAGTCACTCCTCCAATTTATGATGTAATATTAAATTTTAAATAGTTTTAAAAAATAACAGAAATTAGAGGGAAAAAAGGGTATTTTCTTCAGAATGACAATGTCATATATAATATATATAGTGCAATAAAAAAATTAAAATATTTTGACATTAAAAATATTATATATTTAACAATAATTATATCATAAATTTAATAAAATTAAAATTTATATTATGTTTCACATATTTTATAATTATAATTAAACATTTTAACATTTTTAATGTTAAAATTTTTAAAATTTTCTTTTTATTACAGTATATTAAAAAAAATAAAAACACTCATAAAAAATAAATAAATAAACAAACAAACAAAACGCTTGTCGTTCACACAAAAAAAAGAAAAAGTATTTTCTTCCGAACGGCAATGTCATACCATATATTTGGGACACTATTCAGAAGAAGAAAAAGAAACGCTTCTGGAAAATAAATAAATGAGTGAGGAAAAAAAGCTTGTGTAATTCACACACAAAAATGTATTTTCTTCAGAACCGCAATGTCATATCAATATACACAGTCCTATATTCAGAAGAAGAAATGAAATGAAAAATAAATAAATAAATGAGGGAAGAAAGTGCGTGTCATTCACAAAAGAATATAAATAATTTTACAATAATTTATTATTACCCGGGGCAGTGACGGGGTATCCACGTCCTTCTTCTTCCCGTTCTGCTCTAGGTCTCTTCCAACTGTTTGAAGGAAAAAAGAAAATGTCTCAGTAAACCAACTACATATTAGAAGTCAACCGGAAAAA